TCGAATGTTCTGGGGTTAGCAAGAAACGGAACAGAAATGTTAGGTTCTTTGATTCAAAGGGAAGAACAAGGGTATTATTTTGAGAATTCTGGGTTTGAGAATGTTTGAATGATTTCTTTTCTCTCATTTTGTATTCAATAACTCTCTCCTCCCCAAACTGTCGTGTCGAAGACATACTACCATCAAAAGCCACGAAGCCGGTAGAGTTTCCAATTCCAAAGGTGTACTATCCAAAGTCAAAGTTGAATGAAAAAGGAAAGGCCATAGCAAATCAAAGAATGGCGATGAGGGTATCCCCTTTGGGTAACACAGAGCTGGTGGCAACTCAAAATATGGAATATACTCCTGCACCTGAGTATACTCCTACATCTGAAGGCGGAGAAGAGGAAGAACCTGACTATAAACCTTTGCCAGAGGATGATATGGTGGATGATGACTATGATTATGGTGAAGAATTCATCATTAGTTGTAGAATTGTGTCGAATCTTCCTACATAATATGATAAAGTGTCGAAAGTATCACAAAATGAAGAAGGTCTTACCCCCGATGAAGCGGAGGATGGAAAGTGGTGTGGTCTAAGAACATAAGACTGTGATTATGTGATGAATAGTGGTGTGGTCGAAGAACATAAGACTGTGTTTGAAAAACCAAGGCCAAAGATGATGTATCATCTCAAGCCTTTATTTATAAGGGTGAAGGTAGATGTCATGCTGGTGAACAAAGTGTTTGTCGATGGTGGGGCAACTGTAAATCTAATGCCACGCGCTTTGTTTAAGAAAATGGGGAAGTATGGGTCAGAGATTCGACCTCACAACATGGTTTTATCAAACTAAGAAGGGAAAACCAGTAACATACTGGGTGTCATCCAAGTAGAATTGGTTGTCGAAACGACAGCCAGATCAACATTATTCATGGTTATAAATTCCAAAGCCAACTTTAATTTATTACTTGTCCGTGAGCGGATCCGTGGAATAGGCGCAGTCCCGTCGACTTTGCACCAAAGAATTTCCATTTGGAGGAAAGATGGCGTAGTAGAGAACATAGAAGCTGATAAGAGCTACTACAAAGTCGATGATGTTAAGGGTGGAAAGAAGTCTTTCGACCAACATTTAGCGAATGTGGCACCTTGTGATGATGAGAATTACACTCCCAATGAAAACTCAAATCGTTTTTTAAGTTTGGATCCTGATCTTGGTTTTATGTGGGATCTTGAAGAGGCGGCAGTGCCTAGGGAGTCGTTTCCACCCACGGGGTGGCCTAAGGTTGAACGTGATGACCAGTTTGTTAAAAATTTTGGCTCAAATTTCGGCTTATGTGGCTGAAAACAAAAGGAAACCGACTTTAGAAGCTGAGAAGCTACAAAACATGGATGGCGAAGCCATAACAAAGAATTAAGAAGAATGCCAATAAGGCCAAACAACGCTTCAGAAAGTAGGAGGTTAGATTGTATATATGACAATGTACCTTTGGGGTTTGGAAAGGACCCACTAAATTCAATACAAAAGATGTAAGCCCGAGATTCGTTAGAGGAAGTTGATCTGGGAGACGACGTAACAAAGAGACCAACTTACATCACACTAAAGTTGAGTTGAAAATGAAAGTCAAGTTGATCAGACTACTAAAGGAGTATTTAGCCAGGTAAAAGGCCAGTAAAGCAGCATCCTAGGAGGTTCACACATGAGATTACTTTGAAGATCAAGTAGGAGGCTGAAAGGCTACTCAAAAGTAAGTTCATCAGAACTGCAAGGTACGTTGAATGGTTAACAAATATTGTTTCGGTTATTAAGAAAAATGGAACTCTTAGAGTTCGTATAGAATTTACGGATTTGAATAAGGCTACCCCTAAGGATGAATATTCAATGCCTATATCAGAAATGTTAGTCGATTCGGCTGTAGGGTATGAATATCTTAGCATGCTTGACGGATATTCTGATTATAACTAGATTTTTATAGCATATGAGGATGTTCCCAAAACAACATTTAGATGCCCAGAGGCATTAGGAACATATGAATGGGTGGTTATTCCATTTGGTCTAAAGAATGTCAGGGCCACCTATCAAAGGGAAATGAATTCCATGTTTCATGACTTTATAGAACATTTCATGCAAATATATATTGATGAAATTGTGATAAAATCTTCATCTGAGAATGATCATCTAGACCATCTTCAAAAATCCTTTGAAAGAATGAGGAAATATGAATTGAAAATGAATCCACTAAAATGTGTTTTCTGTGTACATGCAAAAGATTTTTTAGGTTTTGTAGTACACAAAAAAGGCATCGAGATCAATCAAAGCAAAACAAAGGAAATTTTATATCTCAAGCCTCCTTCGACAAAGAAATAGTTGCAATATTTATTGGGGAAAATCAACTTCTTGTGAAGATTTATTTTAAAACTAAGTGGAAAAACGAAGGTTTTTTCGCCACTACTAAAGATCAAGAAGGAAAGTGACTTTCATTGGGGAAAGGAACAACAAGAGGCCTTTGACGCAATAAAAGAATACTTGACAAGGCCTCCTGTGTTATTGCCACCTAGTCGAAATAAGAACATGAGATTATACATAGCTGCATCTAATTTAACGATAGGGAGCATGTTAGCTTAAGAGGATGATAATGGAGTCGAAAGGCCCATTTATTATCTTAGTCGATTGTTGATAGATGCATAGATTAGGTATAGCATGATAGAAAAGTTATGCATATGTTTGTATTTCTCATGTATTAAACTTAAGCAATATATTAGACCAGTGGATGTTTATGTTTCGTCCCATTGTGATGTCATTAAACATATATTGTCCAAACCAATTTTGTATAGTCGAATTGACAAATGGGCACCAGCCTTAATTGAGTTTTCATTATTTTACATGCCTTTGAAGGCCATGAAAGGCCAAATCGTGGCAGACTTTATAGTCGATCATGCAATAGTAGAACCGTCAGTGAATCTAGTAGACACTGACCCTTGGAAATTATATTTCGACGGGTCGATTAATAAAAATAGAACTAGTGTTGGAGTTCTGATTATATCTCCAAAAGGAGTACCGACAAAATTCAGATGTAGGGTATATGAAAAATGTTCCAACAATGAAGTAGAGTATGAAGCATTGATCACTGGACTTAAATTGTTGAAAGACTTAGGTTTCGAAAAGGTCGAAAATCTGGAAGAGAAAACGCCAGAATTCTCCCATCAATAAGACTCCGTCGAACATGGCGTTTTAAGGGGAAATTTGTTGACAAGCAATTTTCAACTAGGGAAATAAACCCTTAGGCTGTAAGATTAAAATGGTGAAAAAGGCATAAGTTTCATAGGAAACGAAAAGGTTATCGAGCAAAGGAAGGGACGTCGACTAAGGGAGCCAGACAACGAGGACAAGAGATTCAGAGGTAGTTGTCGACAGGTACAAAGGTCGATGAAGCAAGGGTTTATATTGGCGGGAATAGCTATCAGCGTGCAAGCCAGCGAGAACGTGGGAAGATTCAAACAGTTTTCCACGAAGCCCAACATGGGCTAGTAACCGTCGACGGTTACATATTTAGGATGTCTATTTAAGCAAATTTCTGTATTTGTGTTAGAGGTAACATTTCTTCACATTTAATATCAATACACTCAAAATACCCTCATCTAAGAGAGAACCGAGTTCAAGCTTAACAATGTATGAATGCTTGCACATCTAAATTCATAGCAATTTCCAGCTTTTTACTTTAAATTATAAGTCTTGTCTTTAATTTATCTACTTTGCAACTGTCTTTATCTTTTTCTCTTTTATCTTTTATAAACTAGTTTTCAATCCAAAAAACACTCAAAACACTAAGTCTAAGACTATTGTAACCGATCCTGCAAATAACCTTTAATAAGAGAGTAACAACTATTTCACAGAGAAACACTTAATATGAAAAAGAATTGGTATTGATGTTCCAGTCAGCTGTAGATTAGTAGCATGTGGAAAGCAGTGTCATTCTATTGTGTCCTCTCACTCCTCTGTTTTATATGCCATTCATTTTCCTTCATTTTAAATAAGAGCTACTCCAACGCTGGTTTTTCCGACAGTTTTTCAGCCTAGCAAACTCCTTTTTTGTTTTGCTCATGGATGGAGTTCTCTACGTGGGAGATTGTAGAAAAAGAGGAGCAACACTCAAATTTTTGTTTTTAATATTATTAAATTAAAACTAGTTGTTCAACTACTAGTATGTTTGTTTTTTTTTTCAATTTTTTTTGTTATAAATAAAGGTTTTAGAAAAAATTTACCAATACAATCTTTCTTTCATTTTTATCTTCTCTTAAATTTCAAATTTCTCTCTCACAATTTCATTATTTTATTCTTAAATTTTTAATTTTTTTCTACAATTTAATTATCTTTTTTAATTATAAATTTAATTTCAATTTAATTTATTTTATAACAATTTAAATTTAAATTATTAAAATTATTATTTTAAATGATATAAATTTAATATGTATAAAATATTAATATATAAATTAAAATTGTGAGACCTAATATAAGTTCTTCAGAATTGTACTATTGAAATGAAAAACTGTTGAGTTATTTCAAGTTGACGCGGTTTAAAGATTCCAAAAAAAATTTAAAAGTGAATAATACCATTAGAGATGCTCTAATCTGTGTATCCCAAATTTTTGCCATTATTGTGGCATATGCTTTACACCCATTGTCATTAATGATGGTTATTGAAAGGAAAACTTGAACTAGCAGACAAGGTGAATGGTTTGTACTAACCAAGTTTTTTTCATCTAAAAGAGCTACATGACCCAAGGTTTTTTCATCTAAAAGAGCTAACATGACCCATTTTAGTTATTGGTCACATTTTTAAGATAACATATGATATGTTCTGTTTCTTTTTTAAATTTCTCTATATTATAATATATTTTTTTAACTTACCAAAAAGTTAAGAATAAAAAGTACTCTTCTCCCCCAATTTTTTACTACTATCTCATATGCCTTTCATTACATAAGGAGAAGAATTAGCTAAACAATTTTCACAAACAAAGAAAAATGGGTCGCTCCATTTTATCTCTTCATCACCTTCTTTTTTTATCTCTTGTTATTTTCACTTTGTTGCTCAATTATGTTCATGCCACCAAAAAGGTAACCCAATTTTGCTTCTTAAAACTATGGTTTCATTAATTTGATAAGCTATTGGTTTTTGACTATTGTACTAATTATGTACAGTATTACATTGTATACTTGGGAGCACTTACACATGGTCCAACTCCTTCCGCTGCTGACCTTGAAATTGCTACAACTTCTCATTATGATTTACTAGCTTCAATCTTGGGAAAGTATATAAAATAACAAAATTAGTCATTACAATAATATTTTCTCTTATATATATTGATCATTGACTGTGACAGTGAGGAGAATGCAAAAGAAGCAATTATTTATTCATATAATAAGCAGATAAATGGGTTTGCAGCTATACTTGAAGAGGAAGAAGCTGCACAAATTGCAAGTATGTTTTTGTTTTATATTTTCAACTAATGATAATGATAAATTTGTTTTCAACACTCATATATTTATATATTTTATATGCAGAAAATGGAAAAGTGGTATCAGTGTTCTTGAGTAAAGAGCATAAAGCACACTACACGTTCATGGGAATTTCTCGGATTGCGTAGAAATGATATGAACTCAGCTTGGCAAAAGGGAAGATTTGGTGAAAATGCTATCATAGCTAACATTGATACAGGTACTAAACTAAAGATCAATTTTACTACATTCTAATTAAAATCATTTACTTAATCATTTACCTCAGAAAAATGAACAAGTAAATTGTCGTAATTAAAAATTGAGGGGTAACAAATGACCATTCATTCCTGTCTCTATAATTAAAAATTGAGTTAAATAAATTTGGGGCTGAGGCGGCCGAGTTTGGTCAATGGCAAATTTGTTTGCCATGCTTAAATTCGAATATGTGAGAAAATCTAATTGTCTTTTTCGTCACATGAAATCATATTAGTAGTTGCATATAGCTGTTAACGTTTTGTCTTAGTTGTTGTCAAATGTCAATTTTGGAGGGCTTTTTGTGAGATTTTGGTATCTTTCACTTTTTTTTTTATATTCAAACTTTTTAGAGTATCTCCAACAACGATGAATTTATTTTTAAATATTTTTGCGAGAATTATTAAATTAAGTTAGTTTGAAGTAATTCAATTAATTTTTCACTCTACTAATATAATTCTAAAAAATCCATATTGAATCCCACAATTTTAATTTATATATAACTATCTATTATTAAAAATAATTATTTTATTAATATTTCAATACAAAATTACGTTGCATGCTGTTGCAACCGTAATGCCAGTTGGAAATAAATTTTCTCTCACCAATAATGAAAAGTAACTTTTAAAATGTGTCATGCTGGGAAATTATAAAAGGAACCATGTGTTAAAGATGGTCTTATGTATTTATGAATCAAGACCCTTTTTATTATAATATTAATTTTAGTATAACACTTAAAAATTTATCAATATAAATTTTTTAATATTTATTTTAGTATAATTTGTAACATTCCCACTCATATATTTTGACAATTTTTCATCTCAGCTGAGACACCCCCTCTCAAAATACAAAAATAATTTTGGGTAAATTTTAAGATGTATTTATGGACGTAGTAAATATTATTATTTTTTATAAAAATTTAATTTGAAAATATATCTTTGAATTCATCTGAGATTAATTCGGAGATGTATCTTCGAAGATATCTTTTGTTCTAATTATCATTAATTTTTTATCATAAAGTATCTTCGAAGATACATCTTCAAATTAATTTTGGATTAATTCTAAGATGTATTTTCAAACTAAATTTTAATTAAAAAAATTAAAAAATTTAGTGCATCTGGAGATCCTTTTTTAAAAATTAGACATTTTGAAAATTTCACAAAGAACTTCAAAAAATATATAAGAGTGCAATGAAAAATTGCTTATATTAAGAACCCTCGCATTTACATGTTACAAAATCAAATTTCAAATATAAAATTAAACAATTATTTTTTTAAATTATTATATATAAATGTCCTACAATATATCAGTAAATTATAAATAATTAATATAAAAAGACAATTCAATTGTATAAAATCAATCATATACCTTGAAAATGAATGTTTTAATAAAAGACAAACATACAAAATCAATAATATATATATATATATATAGTTGTATTTTTTTTATTATTCTTCGAGTCTTGTTGTCTTAATCAAAAATCTTTTCACATTAGACAAAATCGAAATACCTAATCTAATGTTGTAGTTCTTAATTAATATCAAAATATAATATTTTATTTTACAACATATTATCTGGTGCTCTGTATCTTATTAAGTACTAGTTATCAAGTCACAAGAATTTCAATTATTTTATGACAAAGTAAAGATAACATTCACAGATTCAATATTATAATCTCCGTATAAAAATCTGTTTCTTTTTTTAATCACAATAAACATTAACCTAAACTTGACTGTTTGCAATAGGTGTTTGGCCTGAATCAATGAGTTTTAGTGACAGAGGAATAGGCCCAATTCCAACAAAATGGCGTGGTGGTAACATATGTCAAATTAACAAACACAATGGTTCTACCAAAGTTCCATGTAACAGGTTCTCATTTAACATGTTTCCCTGATTAATTATTTTTTGTGCTATACAATTATAGTACTAAAATTATTGTATATTATACCATCAAAGGAAGCTAATTGGCGCAAGATTTTTCAACAACGCATACGGATTAGTCAAGGGAAAACTCCCTCGTTCGCAACAAACAGCGCGCGACTTTGTAGGCCACGGTACACACACAATCATGGTATTATATATATCCTTAATGTTATTTTTTTAGTTGTATTACTAGGGAGCAAGTCTTTTTGTAAACTTGCCACCTAACAAGTCTTTCACTGTGGTGACTTCTACTAATGCGAAATTGGCAAATGCGACGAAGAGAGATGCGTAAGTATAAAACTACAATAACAAAAAAGTTGATGATGGTGAAAATAATATGAATAGAGATCAGGTTATGAAACATATGTTAAATGATTATTTCTTACATATTTTTGCAGGCAGTTTTGTAGAGTAGGAACACTTGATCTTTCAAAAGTGAAGGGTAAAATATGTTAGAAATTCATCAAAACTCTATGATGAATTTCTATCACAATGACAATTTAATTATGAGACAAACAAAGAAAAGAAGACAAGACAAATAATTTCTGCAGAGTTTCTCTCTGCTCATAAACTGTGAAAATTTTATTATTCACTTTACAACTGTAAAATACTGTGAATGACTTGTTTGACTTACAAAAATAGGGGTTACTCCATCTATTTATAACTGAGTTTACACCCTAAGGCCAAAATATCTTTTTGTTACTAAATCAAATCTAATTTATTTTAGACTTAAATCAAATCTATTTAAATCTAAAACAAATCAAATTTTTTCGACACATAGTTTCGACACATTGGATTACAATTTAACACACAACCTAATTCATTGTGTCTAAACTATCTATGTTCATCATGGCTCTTAGCTTTCTGAATACTTCGACTTGCACTCCCTTCGTCATGATGTCTGCAATCTGATTCTTAGTTCTGCAGTGTTCCAAATTCATCTTCCCATCTGCTACCTGCTCTCGAAGATAATGGAACCTCATTTCGATGTGCTTACTTCGATCATGTGCTATTGGATTCTTCGCCAGGTTAATAGCTGACATGCTTGTCTATCTTCATGGTAATTGCTCCATGATTTTTCCCTGTTATCTCTTCGACCAAGTTCACCATCCAAGTTGCTTGACATGCACAAAGAGAAGCAGCTATGTATTCTACTTCGCATGATGATAATGCTACTACTAGTTCCTTTCTTGAATTCCAAGCAACTGGTGCACCACCTAGCATAAACACATATCCTGCTGTTGACTTTTGATCTTCAGCATCACTACACCAACTCGAATCAGTGTATCCCACTAACTTGCATTCTTTTCCTTTATCAACTGCAGGAAACAAAATGCCATAATCGAAAGTTCCTTTGAGATACCTTAGTATCCTCTTCACTGTTGCTAGATATGATACCTTTGGCTTCTGCATGAATCTACTTACCATACCTACACTATATGCTAAGTCAGGCCTTGTATGACAAAGGTATCTCAATGATCCAATAAGTCTTCTGTATTGGGTTGGATCAACATCATCTTCATCTGCATCTTTCGACAGTTGCAGTCTTGGTTCTGCAGGTGTCGAAGTTGAGTTGCATTCTTCCATCTCAAACCTCTTGAGAATTTCTCCTGCATATCTTCTTTGATGCATCATCAAACCTCTATTGTTGTTGTAGAATTCGATACCAAGGAAATATGAAATCTCACCCAAATTAGACATTTTGAATTCCTCGCTGAGATAACTTTTGAAGTCTTCGATCTCACTTTTACAGCTACCTGTTATCAACAAATCATCTACATAGAGACATAGTATAAGCAATTTACCATTGCTTCTTCTTACATATACTTGTTGGCTGAAGATTTTGATAATGTTATTTAGAAGCCAAAAGAGATAAACGTTCTGATCGAAATGGAATTAAACGCCATATTTCGAAGTAAAATAAGCAGTGTTTCGAATAAGTGTGTCAAAGCTTGAAGCTTCGAACGGTAATTATGGGAACATATCCAAAGGAGTTTCGAAACAACAGCGAGGCTATGTTTGGGAAGAACGCTCGAAATAGAGAGACACCAAAAGCATTTAAAATTCAAATGAAAGCGGGACTTTCATAGTTTGAAAGTTATGTGCTGGAGCATTTGGGGACACGTGGAAAGATGAAAGAAGCATTGTCTTGCATGTTCGAAATGTGGCATAATCCTGTAGCGAGACCGTTAGGGTCGAATTAGTATAAATAGAAGTCTTAGTATTAGGATTTCGGTGTGTCATATCTGTTATACAAAATACTCAATAACATTCAAACTACCACATGGCAAGGGAAACGAATGCAAGAGAAATGTATGTATGATAGCACCATGTATTTCTAACTTAATGAAAACCTTTTACCATTTCCAGTACTTTCCTCTTTTCTTTTTTGTCAAATAACATTTGCAAGCTTTCCTATTTACAATCTTTTCACTTCGAAGTCTTTTCCTCAAAGTTTTACGTTTTACTGTTTCTTTTATATTTCAAGCACTTTATATTTCAGAGAAATGTCACATTTTCAATACCTTTACTTTCAAGTATTGTCCTTCGAGCGCATACTTTTACTTAAAATCATTTACAGTTTTCTTGCATTAAACGCTTTCTTCACATTTTAAACTTCTACATTCCAGAAACCTTTTATGTTAAACGTTTTGTAAATCGAAACCATTTACTTCATTTTTCATGCAGTTTTGTATGTCTCTACAATCAGCATTACAATTAGCATTTATTCGTATAACTTAGTTTTCACATACAGTTTGACTACATTTTTAGACTCTTAGAGAGAGGGATCGAAATAAGCCAAACACTTATACAATATCAACCATGAATAATTGTTCGATTGTGAGAGTAACCTTAATATCCAAGGAGTCCTAGGATCAATCTAGTCGATCCTGTGAGTTACCAGAGAGATTGAATAACAGTAAGAAAGATTATTCGATAGTTTGGAAGACTAGCGGTTGTTTACCAGAAATCACTGGAAACAAATTGGCACACCCGGTCGGACCAATAATTGGATATCAGAATTAAGGATTGTCGAGACGTAGCCATTACAAAAACGTAGGAACCTAAGAAGTTTGCTGTTTTATGAACCTGAGAAGTGGTAAGATAACCAACAGCAACCAACCTTTATCCAGAAGAAAACGTTTAGACAAAATGTCTAATTCAGACAATCAACAAGGAGACCAAGGTGGCCCACATGCAACAGGCACTAACGCGTCCCTTTCGAGCGGAACATCTAATGTAATGCCTTCGAATGCACAGTCTGTTGCATCTTCAACCAGTAACATAGCCACCAATGGAGTAAGTGGCATATCAACTAATAGTTCGATCTTAGGAAATACTGGAACCATGGGCTACCCTGGGGGATTCGTTCCACCATCAGGGACACAATCCCATTTCGCCACGCCATTAACTAGACCACCCGGCTTCGATGGGAATAGAATTAGAAGTTCTTCGTACGGAATGCCAACATCTTTTATGGCAGGTTTACACAATTCCACATCGAATTCATCCCCACAACTAGGATATGGGTCTGGGGCGAATCAGTTTATGACAAATAACCAAGGGTCAGTGGGTTATAGCATGTTGCCTATCCTAACCACAGATAACCAGTTGGCTTTTAGGCAATTGATGGATGACAGCAACCACAATATGATAGGGGTGTTAGCGCAAACCATGCAGGAAATATTTGCCCCAATAGTTCAGAATGTGACTGTGACGAACAGGGAAAACGCTGACAATATGAGTCGAATAGCAGATTTCTTTGCTCCCACAGAAAGGCGTAGGCAGAACCAGGCGGGATTTCGAACAAACATGCCTGTTATAGAACAAATTGCTAACGACCCAATTCATAGACCACCCAGAGAAGAAGTTAACTTAGGGGCCAGAGCACCAAGGTTAGAAGCCCCAATAATCCCGGGTCCACAAAGGGAAGTTATGGAACCAGGGGCAAGGATCGAAAGGCCAGAAGCCCCAGAATTTCGAGAAGAACAACCTAGGGGAGTTGTTTTGGTCGGTCGAAATCAAGATGCCGATGCCGTCGTTCATAGGATTCGAAACGATAACATCTTGGCAGAAAATAACCTAACCACCATGATAGAGAGGATCATGGCCCAAAATGGCCTCAACACGGGAATGAGGAGGCCAAATTACGCTTCTCCTATACTGGATTGTATAATGCATACTGATTTACCAAGGGGATATAAAGTCCCTAAATTTACAAAGTTCGCTGGGGATACCAATGAGTCAACAGTCGAACACATAGCGAGATATCTAACCGAAGCGGGAGATATAGCCAATAATGAAGATCTCAGGATCAAATACTTCCCAAGTTCCTTGACAAAAAACGCCTTCACTTGGTTTACAACATTGCCTCCTGGGTCTATTGACACTTGGTCTCTTTTAGAGAGATTATTCCATGAACAATTTTACATGGGACAATCGAAAATAAGTTTGAAGGAGTTGGCGAGTGTTAAGAGAAAATTCACCGAACCCATAGATGATTATTTGAATAGATTTAGGCTATTAAAATCCAGATGTTACACAGTAGTGCCTGAACATGAGTTAGTCGAAATGGCCGCTGGGGGCTTGGATTATTCTATTCGAAAGAAGCTAGACACTCAGTATTTGAGGGATATGGCTCAGTTAGCCGATAGGGTTCGACAGGTCGAAAGACTAAAGGCCGAAAAAGCCAGAGTCTTTAAGAATAGTAAGAAAGAAAGGATTTCCTATGTTGGGACTGAGGAAGTAGAAGAATATCCTGAATTCGAATTCGAAGAGGTCGAAATCGACCTCGCTGAATTAAAACAGGCCCCGCCTTACTCCTGCAAAATGTTAGTTTCCACAAAAGGGAAAGATATTGTCGAAAATGAGAAAAGTGACAAGTTTCCAAAGAAGGTTTATACCTTCGACGTCACTAAGTGTGACGAAATTTTTGACTTGCTTGTCAAGGATGGCCAACTAATTGTGCCATCAAATGTCAAAATACCTCCTTTGGATCAGAGGAAGAAGAGGGGATTTTGCAAATATCATAGTTTCCTAGGCCACAAGACCTCACAATGTTTTCTTTTCAGGGACTTGATTCAAAACGCGATCAAAGATGGCAGACTAAAGTTTGCTGATAAGGTGAAGATGAAAGTGGACGAAGATCCTTTGGACGTCGCAGACACCAACTACTCCGAGCCTGCATGCATTGGAGAGGTCAACATGGTGGAAACTGATCGAAGCGACGCCCTAACAGAAGAGAAGGACACTGGAGTCGAAAACTGGGTGATGGTCGAAGTCAGCGAGGAAGTCACTGAAGACATCCAGAATACGCTAGACACTTCGATTGCTGCACCTGTGGCTGTTGCAGGAGAAACCCAGGCTACTGAAGGCCAAGGGAATCAAAACGAAGGACTAACACAAGTCACTGAGGGCTTGAGGCTGGAATTGGAGAAAGTCCAAATTACGCAGCC